TTTTTTTTTTTTTTTTTTGAGGAAAATCTCTGTCAATGTCTTTAAAGGGCACAAAAGATTCATTTGTTCTCGCTTTCCACCTCACTTTATCACTCTTTATTGCAATTGCTGAGCCCGCCGCCTCCTGCCAAATGGTCTGGCCATTGTCTGGGATTTCTAAAACGCAGCTCAGGTGCATTTTACACGCTTTTACGTATTTTATGTTTAAACGGAAGCATAAAAGCCCCGCCAAAGCAAATCCGAATGCTACATCATTTTCAGCTGGACGCAAATAAAAAGGAACGAAAAGGCCATGAAAATTGAAAATGAAAGTTAAATTGCAAACAAAAAAGCGAATATGAATGGCAGAATGGAGAGAGGGACAGAGGGAGAGGAGAGAGAGAGTGAGTGAGAGAGAGTATTACTTATTTTTATGCTGCCCTTTTATATTGGTCGGGTATGTCGCGTACCACAGACGATGTCGTTTTGCTTTTCTGGTCACAGCTGGATGCTGGACCCTTCGCACCCGCCCAGCCTCACCTCCCTGCGCCTTCGCCTTGCCACACAGTCAGTCAATAACATCAATAGACGGCAAATAAAAATCGCCCCTTTTTATGTGGGTGTGGACACTGTAGGTGCCCAAATTTTTCGATTTGCGCTTTGTTTGCTGGCTATATTGTTGCCATTTAAGCCAATGTCTGGGCTGGCCAAAAGGGGCGCGCTGTCAGCGAAACCAAATAAAATGAAAGCCAAAAGCAGCCACGCAGCAAAAATGCTGAGCAGCAGCAGCAGCAGCAGGAGCAGCAAGAGCAGGAGCAGCAGCAGCGTCAGTTGCTGTTAACGGCTGATGGCCAAAGGCTAAAGGCGTAGCAGGATTCCATAGGGCCATGGTCCAGCCAACTATTAATATTGAAACTGTGATTGCTGCTAAATCCTTTCACGCTTTTGTTTTTCTTTCAATTTCAATGCCAGTCACAGGTCTAGCGGAAACGGAAATCGCTGCCCTAACGAGCAGCTGCCGTCAAAGCCAAAGCCAAAGCCAGAGCCAGAGCCAAAGTCAAAGTCAGCAGACAGTTTTTGATTGTTTGACGTCTGGTCTGGGCTGCTGTGTTTCGGTTTCAGTCTCTGTTTGTTTTATTTCCATCTCTTCATTGTATTTTTTTTTTTTTTTTTT